GCCGTGCTAAATCAGGGATGTGTAGATTAGGTGGGTCATAGCGGAATGGGTCTAGGTGGGATGCTCTGAGGGTTGGTGTGGACTTGTTGGGCCGAGGGGCCTGTTTCCACACTGTAGGGATTCTATGATTCTATGATTCAAGACACCTTCTCTTATGCCCTGAACAAGGTAGATTGCTCACAACCCATAAATTACAAAATGCTGGCAGTAGAAGTAGTTGTGTAATGTTACACTTATAATTAACTTCATAACACAAGCTAACCTTATAGAAATTAGTTAAAACTAACTGACTTTTTATTTTTACATTATGCAATTGGGACATTGTAAAAATAAAAGGAGTAACTGAATGCGATGAAAGACAGCACCAAAATACAAAGGGTAATAGAATTTGAGCTGTCCTTACAGATAAACAAGCCTGAGAAAGACCTGAAGGAGTATAGTCATTAAACTTTTGGAATGTGAATGAATAGGATGCATAGGAAGATACCAAGGCCTAGAGATTACAATGTCTAGCTAATACAATACGATCATGGGAACCTGGGGTGGTCCATAGATGTGCTCATCTCTGATTAGGTGTCCCACAGGACTGGATGTTTGAATTAAGGGGAAGGACAATGACTACTTTGTATTTGATTACTGGAGCACAAAATGTATAAAAATGCTGTATTTCTTTGTAAAAGCAGAGGGCGTGCCACTGATCTATCTTCCAAAGCCCGGTTCGGGGAAGATCCTTTGGCCCTCTCCCTGCATAAACCGGTTTCTGCTTGAACAAACATCTTCCACTCGCCTGAATCCTGTCTGCCTCCTGAATCTTTATCCTGGGTCGGGAAAAATGGTCCTACAGTGCCATTGCTGAATTTACCCACCATTGTGAGGGCTTACCCTTCATCAGAAATTCAATAACTGTATAAATACTATGACAATTAGTGCTTGTTAAAGATTGGGAGTTTTGTGGTAAGCAACTCATCCTTTGATTCCTAAACACCTGTGAACCATCTTCAAAGCATAAGTCAGGAGTGTAATAGAATACTGTCCAATTGCCAAATTGAATATAGCTCAAACAACCCTCAAAAAGCTCAAAGCATCCAGGTCCAAGTAGCCCTTTTGATTGGCACTCATTCACCATCTGCCGAAGTCAACAACTTCATATTTTCTCACATTATACTCCATCTTTCAGATTTCTGCCCATTCATTTAGCCTATCTATATCCATCTACAATTTCCTGTTGCAGCAGTCTCTTTTACCGCAGCATTACCTTGTCATCTTGGTTAGCGCAGACAGTGGGCTGAAGGGCATGTTTCCGTATTGTCCTATATTCCTTCTGTCTTCTCAACATACTTTCTTATCTATCTCGGTGTAGTCTACAAATTTAGTGGTTACATTTTGCTCCCAGCTAAGTCACAAATGTTAATTGTAAAAAATTTGAGGCCCCATCACAGACCTCTGCAGGACTTCACTCATCATATCCAGCCAATGAACCAAATACCCATTTATATATACTTATTTTTTGGCTAATGAGGTAGTTGATGCTTTGGTTTTAAGGAACTTCCTCGACTTGGGGTGGATTCCACTAGATTGGGAGATGGTAAATGCAATTTTGTTCAAAAAGGGAGGGAGACAGAAAACAGGAAACTACAAGCTAAATAGCTTTGCATCTGTCATAAGGAAAATGTTGAAAACAATTATTAAAGAACTTATAATAGGGCACTTAGATTAGTTGAATGTAATTGGGCAGAATCAATATGGTTTTGTGAAAGGGAAACAATGTTTAATCAATCTACTGTTAATCTTTGAGGAAATAATAAATGCAACAGCTAAGGGGGATCTGGAGAACGTACTGTACTTAGATTTCCAGAATACTGGACTGATTGCCTTTGATTATTGGGGAAATAAGAGCTCACAGTGTAGAGGGAAAAACATTGACATGGATAGAAACTTGGCAAGCTAACAGGAAACGGAAGAGTCAGCATAAATGAGTCATTTTCTGGTTGACAAGGTATAATGCGTGCTTTACCACAGGGATCACTGTTATGACCTCAACTGTTTGCAATTTATATAAATAACGTGGGTAACGGGATGAAAGGTACAGTTGTCAAATTTGCTGATGTCACAAAATAGGAAAGCAAGTAGTAAAGAGGATGAAAGGAAGCTAGTAGAATATATAAATACGATAAATGAGTGGGCAAAGGCCTGGCAAATAGAACACAATGTGGGAAAATGTGAAATTGTCCATTTTGGCAGAAAAATTAAGAAAGAATTACATTAACAAAATGTTGAGTGATTACACAGTTCTGTGATGCAGAGGGATCTCAGCATCCTAGTTCATGAGTTGCAAAAGATTTTTAGTATGCAGGTACAGCAGGTAATTAGGAAAGCTAACAGAATGTTATCATATATTGAGAAAGAATTCAATGCAGAAATAGCAAGATTATGCTTAATGTATATAAGACACCAATGATAGCTCATCTTTTTATTGTGTATGGTACTGGTCACCTTATAGAATCATAGAATTTACAGTACAGAAAGGCCATTCTTATTTAAGGAACAATGTAAATGTATTGCAAGATGTTCGGTGAAGATTTAGTTACTAATACCTGAAATAAGTGCGATGTGTTATGAATAAGGGTTGCACAGGCTAGACTTGAGCCTTCTGGAGTTTAGATAACTAAGAGGTTACTTGATTAAAAGATAAAAGATCCTGAGGGGTCTTAACAGGGTAGATGTGGAGATGATGTTTCCTCTTATCGAAGAATCGAGAACAAGAGGTTACTGCTTAAAAATAAGAGGTCACCTATTCAAAACAAAAATAAGGGAAATTCTTTTCTCACAAAGGATCATGAGTCTTTGAAACTCTCTTCCTGAGAAGCCGGTCAAAGCGAGTCTTTGAATATTTTTAAGATAAAATTGGATAATTATTTGTAAGCATGTGGGTGAAAGGTTATCAGGGGTAGGCAGGAATGTGGATTTGACATTACAATCAGATCAGCCACGATCCTATTAGATGGTGGAGACAGTTCAAATTGCCTCTGCTCCTCATTCTGTGCATCAGCAGACACAGAGCCTAATGAAGCAGAGGACAAGGAAAGAAAACTGGCCCATCATGGCTGCTTCTTTCATGATCCATTTCAATTATGTTACCTTGCATACTATTCAACTTATTGACCCTCAGAGACATGATCACACAATTGCTTTTCATAGGTAAAACATCAAATCTGCCATCAGGCTCCAGAGATTATTTGATCACCTTTGACTACAGTTATCCCTAAAAACCTAGGGGTTGGGAAGGGTTCCATGGTTGTGGGTGGAAGACAAGATATTTTTGTAATCTCCAGTGTTGCTTTCGGCTTCTAAATATTGTGTGTATTTCCTCATGCTTTCAACTGTTGTGCAAATTCATACTTCCCTTACATTTATCCACATTATTAATCCATCTTTTCATTTTAATTATTTGACTCATTCTACTTGATAATGCTTTTTGCCAATTTTTAAAAATTTTTCTTGGTTTCATTTTGTATTTTAAAATGTTAAATCCTCTAAACTGTCTTCTTCTTACGAGTCACAATTTATTGATGTTTTTTCAAAGGCAAAAATAAAACAGCTGCAGTTTTCTGCAAGGTAGTAAAAGCTGATATTGCATGCTTCAAAATATCCTGTTTGTATTTCAAATCAAACTAGATTGACTTTACAAAAGAAAATATATTAAGCTAACTAAATTCTTACGTGTGCAATTTTCATAGAACAAACTCCTGATGGAGTGGAAGGTTTTCGACCCACAATTTAGTCATCACAAAATGAGACTTACAGAGGTTCAATGTTCAAGAGTTAAAGCATGTGGATTGGGGAAGTCTAGTTTGCCTATCCAGGTCATTTTTTCATTTAGGTCAATTTAGAGGAAATATTAATTATTTTAATATTACTTTTCTTTAAATTAAATCCCTCTTCAATGCATTCAAAGATTATTTTCACCTAATACCACAGGCCTGCAATATAGAACATTGAATTCAACTCAAACAAGATAATTTAAGAAAGAACAAAGTAGGAAATGGAACACAAACAGAAATTACTGGCAAATCTAGGCAGTTTTGACAGCATCTGCGGACAGAAAACAAAGTTAATGCTTTGAGTTCAGTGACCCTTGTTCAGAAGGCAGTTTCTCCAAGTTTCTCTGGTAATTTCTGTTTTTGTTTCAGATCTTCAGCAACCACAGTTCTTTGTTTTATATTAATGCAGAAAATGGGATGTGTTCAGAATACGACAGGTGAAATAACTGTTTCCAATATATCAGGAGAAAGTGATTTATTTGGCATATTCCTTGGCGTCCCTTTCCGTTTACAGTGCTACAAATACAAGAAAGTCATAAACTATTGGAAAGAGAAACTGAGTATCTTCTGATGTATCAGGATCAGTGTGTTTCCAAATAACTTTGAAACAACAACCCCTTCTAATGGTTGGATTTAATGCTCTCCAAATTAGAACTGAGAATCCAATTATTAATCATGTGGTTTTAATGATAAAAACAGTATCTGAAAGATAACCATGTGTTCTCTAGCCGATCATACCGTAACTGAACATGGGACAGATATTTAACTGTGAAATCACACAACATTGAATATTCACTGAAAGCTTTGATCGTGGCTACATTAGGTTAGCAAGATGTGAAAACATTCCACAAGTGGGAAGAAGTGTTACAGAAATGTAAGCAATTCCTACTATTAACTTTGTTCTATTTGTTTCATCGTGCTCTCCAATACGTCACTACTTCTTCAACAATTAAAGACTCTTTCCATTTCTTAATATTATTTACAACATAATCTATTTTAAGTTTACATAAACCTTATTCTTAAAAGTGTGGCCCAAAATGTACCTGTAATTTTTTAACTGTAAAACACACCACCAAAAAATAAGGTCACTTTTTAAATTCAGTGTAGCAAGAGTAAATATTTGAGGCTTGGATTAGAAAATAAATAAATTATATTATCTCAAGTACGGCCAGCTCTTACCTGGCCCAAGATAGCTGATATCAGGGAGCTTTTTCCACTTCCCACGCTGCCACAAATTCCCACCAGTTTACCCTAGAAAATAAAAGAGAGAACAAGGATTACAATTGACTACAATCTATTAAATGAAAACATATTCAGATTCTTAAGGTGCTAACAGGAAAGGACAAGCAGAATTTTATGGCTGCCTACTGTAAGATTTGAAGGCCCATAAAGTTCTTCAGTTGACTTCCCAGCAGTGTTCCACCTGCCCAACCTGTCTATAATTTGACTATGGGATATGTGACGCTTCTACTGGCCCATAAGCAGCCCAACTGAGGTCCTTAAGTGGTCCAGCCATGACCTCTTACAGACCTTTTCTAGCCCAGCTTCAATTTCAAGACGGCTGGGCGGAGTTCAGGAGTGGTGAGAAGCTCATCCGCAATGTCTTCCCCACTATAGCCTTCCCAGAAAATCCCTTCACGGGATTGGTGGTAAGTGGGCTCAAATTTGGTTACAGCTGATTTTTGTACATGGGGTCACAATTAGCAACCTGCCTGCATCTACGTAGATAAAACTGGGAATAATGTATCTCATTTCATATTTCACGTCGATGATCTTTCATCAGAATATGTTCTGAACAAAGGTCATCACCCTAACACGTTAATTCTGTTTTTCTCCGAGAATGCTGCCTGATCTGCCGAGCTTTTTACACCTTTTCCCATCCTTATATCCTTTGATCTTATATCCTTTTATCACCTAATATACATAGCTTTTCATCATAAGCCAACCCTTTCACAATACTCTCATCTTAGGAATCAATCTAATTAAACTTTGCTGTATCAACATATGAACAGGGAAATAAGAACAGGGATAGGCCATTTAGCACCTTGAACCTGCTCCACCATTTAATAAAGATATGAATATGACTGATAGGATTGTGATTTATGTATCAAGACATCTCTATACATCTGAGTTCTGCAATCTTGTTCCATTTAAATGACATACTGCTTTTCTGTTCTTCCAGCCAATTTGGCAGGTTGAGACTTTCCCCCATTATACCTTATGTGTCAAACCTTCACCCACTCACTTAAGACATCTATATTCCTTTCCAGACTCCTTACGCCATCTTCACAACTTACGTTCAGACCTATCTGTGTCACCAGCAAACTTAGTAACCTTATATTCAGTCCCTTCCTCCGACTGATTGATATAAATTGTAGATATTTAAGATCCGCATCACTGGCTCCACTCTGTGTTTCTCTTTAGGTTATGAGTACTCTGTGCTCACGTTTTATGCCCCAGAACAGGGCTCTGATTTTGTGTAGTTTTGATGTGACGTCTTGTCAAGTGACTCTCAGAAATCTAACAACTTGACTGTTTCTCTCTGGGTAACCAATACTCTTTAGGAAGAACGTGAAGACGTTATTGAGGCTGTAGAGAAGAATCACAAGAACAGATGAAGTTTCAGTTATACAGAAAGATTGAAGTAGTCATTATTGTTCACCATGGATAAAAGAAAGTTGAGAGCAGACTTCACAGAGGTATTCAAAATCTTGAAGAATTCTAGAGGGGGTAGATGGGGAGAAATGTTTCTCATTAGTGAAGGATTGAGAATCAGATGGGACATGTCTAAAGTAACTGATAAAGCAAGCAAAGGTGAACTGAAGAAAAAACATTTTCACACAGAAATTGGTTAGGATCTGGAATGTACTGCTTAAGAGTGTGGTGAAGGATCATTTGATGTATTTAAAAGGGAATTAGATTGTTATCTGAAAAGGTAGAATGTACTTGGCTATGGGAAAAAGGCAGGAGAGTGGTACTAGGTGAATTGTTCCTTCAGAAGGCCAGCACAGATAAAATGGTACAAATGGCCTCCTGTGCTGTAACCTTCTGTGATTCTTTGCAGCTTCTTTATGCTTCTTCACTGTATACATTCCTGCCTAGCTTTGTATCACAAACAAAACTGGATACATTACTCTAGATGTCTTTGACTGAGTCATTAAATTCAATTGTGAATGGTTTAATTCCAAATCTTGATGCTCGCAGTACTCCACTAATCACAGCTGTCAACTTGAAAATAACTCATTCCTCATTTTCCGTGATAATTAATCCAGTCTCTGTCTCTAAGCTTCAATGTTTGCTTTAACTACCCCTTTTTTAAAACATACAGGCAAAACATTTTGCATTCTTGGTGAATCTACTTTCATAATTATTTTTCTCCTATTAGCAACTGTTCTCTTATTCCTGTGGCTGACGACTATTCTTTGCAACATTATAAATTTCTTCTTTGAGACTAATATTAACCTCAAATATGCTAGTGGGGCCACAAATAGATCTTTCTCACAAGGTTTTTGTTTCTCATATGGGATATATGTTTTGAATCATTAATGTAATGTGTCCCATTGTTTATTTACCATCATTTCATTCAACCTAATCAACCTTATCTACTCTCCCTGATACTTCAGTAATTAGCTTCAAGATACATGTTTTGGGCTTGAGTATATCACTCTCAAACTTGATAATGGAATTAAATTGTAATATGATCACTTTTCCCAGCAGATCTTTCATAATATAACTGATGAATTCTGCCCTAGTAAACGGCACTAGATCTAAAAAGATTTGTTCCTATTTCTCTGTCTGCGGGTGGATTGTAAAGTCCAGTCTCATATTTTTATGATGGTGATTATATCAAATCCATTTATCTTTATTAATGTCATTAGTTTGTCTCACTTGTTATGAAAGTGTCACGTATTCACTATTACTTTATATTTCTATTATTTGCATAGAACCAATTCTCAGATGCACCATAATTGTTAAACTCTCTGCCCCTCTTGGCCCAATCTGGCCATCTTTCTTCAAATTGTTATAGGCCTCTGTTCCCTAAAATTGTTTGTTAACTTTTAAAATCTCACTTACTTGATCCCTCTGTTCCCCTTTCAGCCACAATCTCCATTCACGGCTCTTTGTTTGGCCTCATTAAATGGAGAACAGAACAGATCCCTTTTCCTCAGTACTTATGACAGTGCCCCAAGAACAAAAAACTCTTTCTTCACGTACCACTCTTTGAAATACACATTCACTTCTCCGATGTGCTTGGCCCTTTGCCAATTGGCACATGGATCAAGTAACAGTCTAGAGATTAGTTCCTATTAGATTCTGTCAGTATAATATCATTCATAGTTCTACGTATGCCTTTGTTTCCTACATATTTGTGGGAAGTTCAAGTTCATATCCAATTACAAAGAGACGTCTTTAACTGTGGCACTGGTCCAGCAATATAATCTTTACAACCCTCACTGCTGCTGCAGAGATCTCCATCTTTCTTCTAGTGATTACGTCCTCCAACATCACCTCTTTGGTTTTCACTTTCTCCACTTGAATAACATTCTCTACCATGGTGCCATGCTCAGTTTCCCATGCAGCCATTTTTCTCATACATCACAGGCAGCAAATACATTGTATTTGTTGATCTAAAAGTTAAGGATCAAGGCTTCTCTATAACTTTACCCATAATCCCAATATCTGCCTGACTGGCATTCATACCGTCCTGTCTCTGACCAATAATCAACTCTAAAATACTACTTAAGCAAAAGGATGTAACAAAATGTCCAGCTGATTCTCCTCCTTCCCAATGCCTCACAATGTCTGCAGTTCAACCTCAGCTCTACAACTCGGAGCTGAACTTGCTTAATCTGCAAAAGCTCACGCCAGATATAGCTGTCCAGAACTTCAATGTTCTCCATAAACTCCCACGTTTCAGTTTTGTCACACAGTCTGCCCTGCAATCCCTGCTGCTACTTAGAAATTCACATATTTATTTGTTGATTAGTTATTTATTTAGCAAAGGCACATTACAAGTCTCTGGTTTAGGGGCTAAAGGAAAACACTTACCAGCCACTGGAGGTTAATTGAAAAGAGGGTGCATTTCCTCTCTCTCTCTACCAAAATCTCATTTCACACAGGAGGTAAAGGTGAATGAATTCTCACAATTCATGCTATGCCCACCATATCAACAAGTTCTCACTCTGTTCAATAAACCTCAGACTCATCAATCAATGAGCAGCACTTCCTGACACTAAAGAGTAACGCCTAATATGGACAGAGAGCACCACACACTTACAAATCCAATAATGCTGTCAACATTACACTCACCTTTCTCTGACACAATTCACCCCCAACTACTCAGCTATGGCAGGCACATTATCAAAACATAGAAAATAGGAACAGGAATAGGCCATTCAGCCCTTAATGTTTGCACTGCCCATTGCTGATCATCTAACTCAATGCTCTGCTCTCTCACTTTCTCCCTATATCCTTTGGTCCCTTTAGACCTAGAACTATATTTAATTCCATCTTGAAAACATTCAATGTTTTGGTGTCAACCGTTTTCTGTTTAAACTCCAATGGCTGATGGGCATTTTTCTTTTACCCCCAAATGATAGAACTGAGGTGTGCCTTTGCTGAATAAATAAATAATCAACAAATTAACTATCTGAATTACTAAGCAGCAGCAGGTACTGCAGGGCAGATGCTGTGACAAAACTGAAACATGTGGGAGTTCAGGGAGAGCATTGCAATTCTGGACAGGTATACCTGCAGTGAGTGTTTGCAGATTAAGCAAGTTCTCCCCATTTCAGTCTTAAATGGCCTACCCTGTATCCTTAAACTATGACCCCTGGTTCTGGACTCTCTGCTCATTGGGAACATCTTTTCTGCATTTACACTGTGTAGTCCTGTAAAAAATGTACAAGTTTCTATGAAATCCACCTTCATTCTTCTAAACTCCCGTGAATATAGGAGCTGAAGGAATTGGTCATCAGCTTCAGGGAGTAGAATGTACACATCCCTGTCTAAATCAATTGTGCTGAGGTGGAGATTTTCAAGAGCTGCAAGTTCGCCAACAATCTGTTCTGGTCTATCCACGTCGCTGTTACAGTCAAGAAAGCACACCAATGCCTCTGCTTCCTCAGAAGGCTAAGGACATTCAGCGTGTCCACAATGACTCTTAACAATTTTTAGAGATGCGCCATAGAAAGCTTCCTATCCAGATTTATCACTGCTCCCCCCAAGACCACAGGAAATTATAGAGTTGT